ATAAATGTTAATAAGTACAATTTGTAATTTTTTTATTAGAAGTTAATTCTTTTTTTTAAAAATGTAAGCTTAAAAAAGGACACATATTTTGTTTCTTTAAACTGCATATTGTATCGCTTTTTGTAATATCCTTGATTCAAAGTGTGATTAAAAATTCGTAATTTTAATGTTGCTTAAATGATGTATCAAAATGTATTTAAATTACATTGAAACTAACTCTACTGCTATCTTTAGTTCATAAAGAGCAGTTGAATTAGTTTTGGTCCTTTTAAAATACAGTTTGATATATTATTTAAAAAACTTTAGAATTAAAAATTTTTCATCACATTTTTAGCATCAAGGATAGTACAAAAAACGAAGCAGTATGCAATTGTGTCAAAAAAGTCGTTAATATGACGAAGCTAATAATCAATATGAAAATGTTATTTTGACACAACATTTTGTTATTATGAAAAATATTAGTCAAGTTGACAAAAGGATAGTTTACGACATATCTGTCAAAAGGATAATTTTTTTATTCAAATTGATTAAAACTCAGACGATGATGATATTTGTCAACCTGAAAAAAAAATTCTTCTGGGAGTCAATGTGATAAAAGGATTTGTCATGTTTATTGCTCCAATTATTCAACCCTATAACGACGACGTTTTCGTCAGAGCAATATATGTTTTTATCAAATAAACGAAAAAATTTTTTCAGTGAATGTAAGGGAATTAAATTTGAAGAAAGGAAAAAGAGAAAAGTTCAAATCAATTTTGCTGTTTCATTTTGAACAGGTTTTTATACCCACTTTGAATTGAAATAAATTTGAAAATAAGACTTTTATGTGCAAAGTTTTAATAATTTTGTTCAAAAATTAATTTTGAGTTGTTTTGCTCTCTTACATTTTAATTTATTTTAATAGAAGGGTTTATGAGTTTTTTTCTTTCCATTCGATATTTTAATCTAACTAAATAATATTACTTTTTGTTTTGTAAAGTTAAAGTGGAGATTTTTTTAAAGTATATTCGCATTAACCTAGTTAAATTTTCAATTGAAATTTTTAAAAACATAAAAGACTTTTGTTTGAATTAATAAAATTGATTCAAACAAAAATATTGAAGGATTGAAAATTTCTTATTCTTTACGCTTTAAGGACTCAATTTAGGGTCATTAGCATTAATATCGCTTTATCCTAGAGTCCACCTACTAAATCAATGATATTTCAGTGTACTTGTTGAATTTTTTTTTTTTTTTGAAAAATTTAAGTATGAAATTATGTAAAGTTTGCTTTTTATTGTATTATTTTTAAAAAATCAAAATCGTTCGTATATGAAAGCGTATTGTAAGCGTGTCTTCCACATCTATTGGAGGGTACAATAGATCCTTATATATGCTGGTCGTGATGCAATCTTACCCCATCTGTATACAATCTACAATCTACAATAAAATGACACCCGACAGTTTTTAAGTACTTATTTAAATATAATTTCCTTCCAAGAGGTTCAATAAAATAGCTTTATTTTTAAAATTATTTTGCATAGTTTTTAAATTTAAATTAATCTTTCTGGTAAAAATGCATATCCTCATTTGACTTCAGTAATGATTCTTAATATAAATATAATTATTGTAAATGAAAATATTTATTTCAGAAATTTATTAACTATTTAAAACGAAATCTTTTCTGAAGTAAAATAAAAGAAAAACTTTATCAAATGAAACTAGAATATGTAAACTAGGTAAGCTCACGAAGTTGGGAATAGAATATTCAAGCATAAAACAGGAAATCCAATTTGACATAGGGCACAAAATTGACATATTTTATAACATGTATAACTTTCTACTACCAATCAGATTGAATTCAACAAACGTTATTGGTAACCAAAACAAATTCACTCTATACTTTAATTCAAAAATGAATTAATAATTTCCTTTAATAATGTCGCTAAATCAAAAGACTAAAATATATTTAATCGGATTCTTAACACAATATTGTAAATATGGAAAAAAAAAATCAATTTTTTATTGATAAATCTATTGTGCAATTGTTAGTGAAATTTTTATAGAAAACTTTGGTAAACAAATATTGAATTCAGACCAATCAATATTTTACCAATGTTTAGCCATATTTTTAGTCATTAAGTTTCTATTATCTTTGCTTCAACTCTTTGTTCTTAATATAATTGAGCCCGTTCATAACAATTTCAAATTACTTATGAAACATTTTTATAGATTTAGACATTAACATACGTCCTCGAAATACAATTTCTTTAGAATACTGTCTTAATATAGTAAAATAAAATTAAGTCATAAATAAAAATTTTATTTAAAAAAGAGCAAACAAAATGAAAAGTAAAAAAGAGAAACAAAAAGGATAATATGAAATAAATAAAAGTTTTCAACTTAAAACAAAATTTATTAGAAAAGTTTTCTTCTATTTTTATATTTTCATGTTTATGCGAACATCCAACATATTATTTAGAAAATATAAAAACTAGATCAAGATAATAATTTAAAATTTATAAAAATAATCTTCTTTCCATTCTACTATTTTCAAATATCTTTAAAACACATAATATTTACATACTTATTCTTCCTACACGTTATTTTCAAACTAGTATATAAAAAATTATTATTGGGGTGACCATTACACTGATTTTCCACATCAATTGCCATTCAAAGTAGTATTGCATGAAAGAGTTAAAACAATCATCATCTGAATGGACAAAAATGCGACAATTAGATTGCCTAGCAAAGTCATCATCATTTAATGAAGAAGGATAGTGGAGTGTTTGAAAGGGCAGGCTTTATTATTATGAGACACTCAAGAAATTTTTGCACTACGTTTTACGGGCAAAAAAAAATAGCACTGAATAGAATATCACTGTTATATAATCTCATATTTAAACAATAATTTAAATTCCTACAAATTACATACTTCAGAACACTCTTACTCAAACCCAAGATAAAAATAACAAAAGTTAGTACACAAAACCCTTATGGCAATAACCAATTTAATTATTACATATTATGAAATTTAAAATCCCTGCCTTACTTTTATATTTCTTTAACTAGATAATTGCAAAAATTTAAGTTGGAAGTAGGATCAACCTACCAGAAACTGGTGATTTCCTTAAAAATTATCTCACGTAATAAATTCACGATCTTACGAGTATTTTCAGAATTTCAGTAATATTCCGGCCAAAAAACAAATTGTGTTGGTTGTAAGTTCTAGTATCGAAATATTGTTATGTGAGCACTTCTCTTGCCCCAATAAGTATGGTCACCGGGACCAGTGTACACATATATATGTAATCTATGAATAAAACAAACTAATAAAATAAAGATAAAATGAAAAACTAATATTTTCTTTAATGGAAAAAAATGACTTTTATTTCTAGAATCGTAATAAAAGCAAGGAAAAAAAATAATAAATTAAAATGAAATTAATAAATTATTTAAAAAGTTTCATTCAATTTTATTTAGTTTTTATGAATTATAAACCATTCTCGTTTTTTTTCAAAATTCATTTAAAACCCAATTATTATCAATAATTAAGAGAAAAGACACAGAAATTTTTAATTCAGATAAATTTAAAATTTCATTACGATTTCTAATTAAATTTTTATTTAAAGAGAAATAATAACTAACATTTAATCAAATAGTTTAAGAAACAATTTCAACTGGTTCTATAATTAAAATTTGTAGCGAAATATTCAAATAAATTATGAAGATATTGGGGGGATGCCGATTCAAATTAACTAGGATTGTAATAAATTTGTTTGAGCTCTACTCAATTTCAAATAAATAAAAATAAATAAATTTGTTACAGCATTACTAGCCCAGAATTATGTGTACTAAAATATTATTCAATTTAATAATTCCAACAACTTTAAGCTGAAGCTTATTTACTTTAAAGGATTAAAATAAAAAATAATTTTTTTTCTTCACTGAAAATTTAATACCTTTAAAACTTTTAATGTTTGACTTTTATTAAGAAAGAAAAAAATTAAAAAAGTTTTTATTTGGTATTAAAAATTGTAGTTTTATTTTCTATGGCTCTTTTAACACGGTAATAAAACAAAATTAAGAAAATCGATTTTATTTTTTATTTTCTACCAATTTTTTTTCCCTTAGTATATTAAAAAAAAATTTTTTTATTGCTATTCGAAAACAAAAAAGAATAAAAGAAATTTCACGGCTATTTGGTTATTAAAATTGGATTTTTTTTTTCTTCAAAATAAATAACCCAAAATAACCATAGAAAATAAATTTTTAATTTGAGAGAGAAAGTGGCAGAAGACTGTTAGTGTTATAGCTATCGTTTGCATTTTACATTTTTTAAGACTCAATGATGACTCTGACGAAAGGCGTATATGTATAAACACTGTTTGTTATTCTCTCAAGATTTACTGCCAGATTTTTTAAAAGTAGAGTGGTGACAAATAAATTTTTGTGAGAGTTTGGAACAGCGAATAACTCATTTTTTATTTGCTTATAATTGTCTCAATAAAATTATTATATTTTGCGTAAAATCTGGGCTCTATTAGATAATTACAGTCTGATATGTAAAAAGTCATTAAAGTCATCGTAGATTTAATTTTAGATTTTGTCCAATAAAGAAAAATTATCTTGCGGTGCTGTTCAAAATATTTGAATAGCACAAATTTAATTGGGAATAATCAAATTGCAGGTCAAACAAACAAAATAACAAGAAGGAAAATATTAAGACCGATAAAGTGACGCACAATAGCTTTATAAAGCAAAATGAAAGAAATAAGAACTTTGATATTAAACCCCATTTAGAGCAGTAAGTCAGGACTCAGCTACAATTTTATTTTCTAAATATTTCTTTAAGGAGAATGGTTATTTTTATGTTGTTCAAGAATGTAAAAGAATTTTTTTAATTTTATTTATAAATTATCTTGAAATTCTTAAAAGGTTCAATATGCATGTTCAATTTGTAAGCAAGTAAAATAGTTTAATTAGAAATATATTTTATTCCTTCAATTTTAACTTACCGCTAACCAATTATCTTTCAATTTTAATGCTCTAACTGATTGTGCTAAAGCAGCTGGTATACGACATAAACCAGTACCACTGATATCTAATTCTTTTAAACTCCATGATGCAACAAATTCTTGTAATGAATCACCCAATTCATAATTATATGCAAGTGATAGACCAATTAAATCTGGTATACCAGATAATGATTTAACTGATTCACCATGTATATTATTATTTGATAAATCTAAATATTGTAAATTTGGCAATACCAAAAATGTATCAAAATCAATTTTATGTATATTATTATATGATAAAATTAATGTTTCAATATTAATTAAATTATAAAATGGTTCCTTAAAAATCTTCTGATTATCATCATTATCATTATTATTATTGTTATTAGAATTTTTAACAGTGCAATTTTTTAATTTTAATTCTGATAAATTGTTATTTTCTTCATTTAAATTTGTTGATTTACCATTGCACATTTCATTTTTTAAATTATAATAATTTCCACCTAATTGATTACGTGATAAATTTAATTTTTTTAAATTTTTCACTTTTACAAAAAATGTTTTATCTAAATTTTCAATTAAATTACATGATAAATCTAAATTTTCCAATTTATTAAAATATTGTAATTGAAAATCTTTTAATAATTTTATACAATTATTTTTTAATATTAAAGTTCTTAATTTGGCTTGAATATTTTCATTATTTTCATTATTATTTATTTCAATTTTAATTTTATTTGGTTTTTCATTAAATATAACAGTAAAATTTGACACGTAATTATTTGTTAAATTTAATATTGTTAAATTTTTTAATTGATTATTATCAAATGAAAATTCTGTCAATTGATTATTTGTTAAATCTAATAAATTTAAATTTTTTAAATTATTTTTACTATTTTTATTTATTGAAAATAATTTCAATTGATTATTTGTTAAATTTAATGTTTTTAATCTATTATTATCGATTTGATAATCATTTATATTAAATTCATTTAATTTTTTATTTACTAAATTTAAATGATCTTTTGTACTTTTATTATTAATAAAACTATTCCAATAATAATTGTTATTATTTACAATATTACTATTATTGTTGTTGTTATTATTATTATTATTATTATTAACAAATTTCACTCCACTATTAATATTAGAATTATTATAACTGTTATTAATATTACTATTATTATTGTTCTCTTTAATAATATTTTTAATTATTGATCTTTTACCAATTGTATGTGATATTTTATTACCAGTATTACTTCGATATTGTTGTAATTGTGATTGCTGTTGTTGTTTTTGTTGATCTTTATTTTTTAAATCTTGTCGATTTTGTACAATCAATGGTTTATTATTATTATTAGTAAATTTAAAACTATGTGATGACCTTGATGTATCATCATTATTTGAATCACTTAATATACCACTATTCCAATAGATGGAATTACTTAGAATATCTTTATTTTTTATATTGTTATTATTATTATTATTATTATTATTTATATTACTATTATCTTCATCACGTAATATTTGATGTATGGTATCATATGGTATACGTGATGGAAAATCATTACTATTAAATGTATTTAAAATATCAACATCATTATTACCATGATGATGATAATGTGGATTATCAATATTATTATAGTGAAATGGATTTAAAGAATGATACAATAATCGATTTTTTACTATTTGTGATTGTTGTTGTAGAGGCTGTTCTTGATTTTCTTTTTGATGATGTAATACTGTTGATGTTTCTGTGCTATTTATTGGTTTTAAAATAATTAACACGGTAATAATTATTAAATATAAAAAATTATATTTAATAAATTTTAAATTATTAAAATTGAAAAATGAATTTTTCATAATTTCTTCAAATTTTAAAATAATCATTTTGAATAATTGTATAAAACTGAAGTAATTAGTTTGTATATCAATAAACTAAGAAAACTTGGCACAATTTAATTTTTCATTCAGTCAAAAATCATTGGATTTGTCTTTTTTTTTGTATCACATTTTTGTAGATATTTTGAGCTTTTCCAGGTTTCGTGTCAGCTGTTGATTGTTGATTTTATTGTTTAAATCTGTAAAATAAAAATTATATGAAATTCGAGATTAAGTTTAATATAACACTTAAGGTTTGGTTTATAAATTGAATGTTGATTTACAATAAATTAATTTTAAAATATTTTTTATATTTAAATCAAATTTAAAAAGAAAAACAATGCAGTGCTTTCTGGAAAAAGAATCAGGAATGATTTGCCAGCTTTCTTGCTAAAGCTATTATTTTCTTTCAACTTATCTAAAATCTATTTTTTTATATTTGATTTCATTTGTTTGTAAATGGTTGTATGGATCTAAAATTTTATCAGCTTTGAGACACTTACTACTTATGTCCTCCGTTAGGGAAGTTTTCTTTATTTATCTCCATACTCTCCGGAGTTCAAAATTTCTATAAAAGCAAAGAACTAACAGTATATTTCACGATATCAAAAGATGCAAATTTTTAAATCAAGCCCATTGTTTAACCATCGAATTTCAGAATTAACGTTTTTTAAATTTTTTTCTTGTATATCCTAAATGTATGCAATTATTTGTATATTTGGATATTGTGTAAAATTAATTTAATGAACGTAGCTGTCCTACTTGACAAACTACATTTCTTTAAGTTTTTACTGTTACGTATTCTTATAAAATATTATTTCCCACTCAAATCGAGTTGTAATGTGAACATTTTACAATTTGATTCACATACGATTTCATTTGTATTTGAAGCGCGACGGTGACCATTGAAAAATGTTGAATTAGCACAAGATTTTAATATTTAATTTTGAATTATAAATTAACCAAGAAATAATTTTTAATGAGTTGACTGAAAATAAAAAAATTTACAAATATCAACCACCATTTAATTAGTAATTTACATATGAAATTAAACGGTATCATTAAATGAAATTGTTTTTCTAAAATTCAAATGATCCTTTTTTAAATTTTCTTTTGTCCAATTTAATTTTTGATTGTTTACTAAGATTTTTCATCAAAAAATGAAAATGAGAAGAAAAGAACAAACAAAATTAAATTTCATCATTTTATTCCCTTTTTTTTATTATTTCAAAGCATAGTTAATTTACGATTATTTCTTTTACTAACAAGCTTCAATTTTACATTTAAAATGAGAAATAAAAAAATACCGGAAAATAAAAACAATTTTCTTTGTCGAGCATAAAAACAATTTTGATTGCTTTTACTACTACCTTCTGAATGAATTTAAATTAAATCTAACAAGGAAAAAATATTTGATTTTTAAACTTTAGGATATCCAAAATTATGTTAAAAAATTTAATAGAGTTTTTTTTGTTCAATCTCTTTAACTATTCGGTTGTGAATAGTTAAAGAGATTGCGAATTTCCAGCTTTTTTGTTTTAAGTTTACTGATGTGGTGACACTCTCAAATCACTCTGAATTGCTCCGTCTTCTAACCAGTCAAACTTATTTTATAAAGGGCCGTATTGCTTATAATTATAAGAATATTACTTTTTATAAATTTTCAGCTTTAGAAATGCCTTTGATAAACCAAGAAGCAGTTGTAATCCAAACTAACTAAAATCTTCATGCTCTTTTTCTTGGACCAAATTCTAAAAGTTCCATATCCAAGTTTCAAAACAGTCTTATATATAATAGTTTATTAAATTTTTATCACGGGTCCCATAAAATAATTCTCATAGGAGGGCTATCACTAACGTAAAAGCACTAAAAGAATACATTTTTTACACTAACGTGATGAAGAATAACAGAATATCGTATACATCGTTATACCTATACACATATTATTATATAAAATATCTATAAAAAAAAAAGAGTACACCATTTTGTTTTTTATTTTTTCCTTCCTACTCTTTCAATTTCAATGTTGTTATTATGGTAGTATTTGTAGGGTATTTATTTTTTACGATTATCTTTAGAAACAAATGAAATTCTAGGTACTAGATAGAAAAGCAGAAACAAAAAAATGAAAATGAAAACGAGATAACGTTTAGGTTAAGATTTAGTTGAGCATGAACTATTCATTTGCTGGTTCTGTTGATGCAATATAAAATAAAACTGGTACAATACTATACAAAACCAAATGACCTCATTTTCTCACGTACAAAGTGTAATGAAAATGATATTAAAAATAAAGTAGAAGTAAAAAAAATTAAAAACTGGAAAAAAAAAATGAGAAATAAAATCGTTCAGTTTCGCATAAAAAACAATAAAGGAAATTCAAGTGGTATTTTCACCTGTAATGACAATGTTTAGTGGAATTTAATTTTTTCCTAAATGGTTGCAATTTAAAAAGAACAAAAAAAAATTAAAGGATGATTTAAAAAAGATAAAAAAAAAGGAAAAGTAAAATTTGTGGAAATTACAAAATTTATTGAAATATTTTTTTTTTATTTTTGAAAATTCAATTTAATTTCTTCTCTTATTTTAAATATCTTCTGAGTATTTTTACAATTATTAAAGTGTTAATGAAAAATTCTCACTCCTTTCTTAATGAAAATAATCACTCTTTTGATTAAAGTTGGTACTTTTAGGAAAATTGTAAATTTCACGAGAATTTGATGATGACTTCAGTCAATTTGGTAAACTAAAATTAATTTTCGAAATATTTTTGAAATGTTTGAAAAGTTAGAACGAAAACTTAAATTTTTAAATTATGTTACGACATTCGTCGCAAAAATATTAAAGAAAACTGAGATCAAGAATATAAATTGCGACCGTAAAAAATTGTCATTTTCCCAGTTATAGACACGAAATCAATTAAACTTTTAAGAACTTTTAACCGAATAAGAAAAATATTAAATTTAGTGAATTAGTTTTTTGATTTTTATTAAAATTTTTTTATACGAGTATAAAACTGTTATACCAAATTTTTGTAGATAATTACTTTAATCAAAATTGGTATGAAATTATTTTGGTCAAATAAAGGTAGTGGTTATTTCACAAGCTTTAATTCGACCAGAGCAATGCTTAGTGTTAAACTTGTCATAATTGCTAATTTCAATCCTTCAGCGACATAAGAATTATTTAAAGATTTAAATTTAAAATTTAAAATTAAATTAATTAATGCTTTACTAATATGTAATGTAATATGTATGTAATTTTTAACTAAAACTAAGAAAGAAATGTTTCGAAAATCGGCGTCACTTTATATTCTTATAATTAATAACATGTTATATTAATTTAGTATTAAGCTATTAATAGCTTTATTATACGCTTTACTGCACCAATAGACGTAGTTTTTCATTCAATATGTTTTTTCTTCAATGAACTGTATCACTCAATCAATTTCGAAAAACAATTTTGAAAATTTTAACAATTTCGAATACTTTGTTCTTTGTTGTATATTTTTTTCAGATAAAATATACTTCTTTGGAAATATAACTATAATTTTATATTAAATATTACAAAAATTTAAAAAACTAAATTTATTTTTGAATTAAATCGAAAACTAAAAAATAAATTTCATGGAATTCATCTTGTCTCATTCTTTTTTATATTGCAAGATATTTTAATGTTAAAAGGATTGCTAAAACAACATCTTTCGCAGAAAAAATCGTAAAACAATGTTCTCTTAAAAAAATTAAATAATTTATATATATACTTACATATATATATATACATAAATTTTCAGAGAAAAACGATAAAAGGAAATTCAGAAAGGCAAAAATGTTGTTTTTTATTTTAGCGCAAAAAAAAAAAAATGAATTTTATTTTATTAATTTCGATGTGTTTTGGCAGAATTTCATATTTATTGTACGTACCCGTGGATTTAGCAATTTGTTATGCTACTGACAGGCATGTAATATCAATTAATATAATAATACTCTCAATATGATAATATGTCCTAATCAACTGTGGCAGTTGCAAACGTGGTATTAAAATTTTGTTGGTAGAAATTTTTTAAATAAAATTTTGATTCTCTATTGATTTTTACTAGCATTAAATGAATCAAATAATTTAATTTTGAAATTATTAAATTGAAAAAATGGCTGGTATATTTGCCACCACAGTGCTCTGACGAAAAATTCAACCATTTCACCTCGTTCATAGATTCATGATGACTCCTTATCCACCCATATTCGTTAACTGAAAGAATTTTTTATAGGTTTCTATAAACTATCTTTTCTTTGAATTGCTACCATTTTCTTTCAGGGGTGCGATATGGTTTTTTATTTGAATTTAAGTAATTAAATGCAAAAAATTTCAATTGCAATAGTAAGGAACAAAAATGAATTTTTCTTAAAAGAAAGCAGAGAGGAGAGAGGAAATTTCCCTGACTTTAATTACAACTTTTTTCAAAAAAAAAAATATATTCTTTGTAAATTAATGTAAATTAATTTTCATCATAAGTATTTACACTTCTTCATATAAAATACCTTATAAACATTTAAAATATTTTCAATAAAATTTTATTTAAAAATTTTGTAAAAATGTGCGTTTGTTTTATTTATTATTTTTACAAAATAAATTTTCTTCTAATAAACTTAAATTTAATTTCTATATTAATTAAATATTTATTCTTTTTTCTATTTATTTTTCAGGTAAGCTTCCTTAAATATTTGTATTTCAAAGCAGAAAATTCTATACGGTAAACAAAATTTTAATTATATATATATATTTATATTAAAATCTAAAGTATTTTTGTAGAACAGTAAACTAAAATGTATGTACAGATAATGTGCACATAAACTATTTTAATAGATTGCAAACTGTAGGAGCTATCAAATTGCATTTCTAACAAAAAACCAGAATACTTGAATATATTTTAAAATTACAATAGCTTTTCAAATATTATTCAATTCTCATCTTAATTTATATTAATTTTTTTTATTAATTTATTACTTTAAATTTAAAACAATTTATTAAGTTTAATGATGTACGGAATTTTAATTCTTCTTATGAAATAATATATTACGTAACTATTATTATCCTTAATAAATTATAATTTATATCAAAGAAATTTTTTTTTAAAGTCATGCTACATTTACACAAAAATTTTGTTCTCATTGTAATTTATCCTCATTAAATTTTCTTAAAGCACATGTAAAATTTCATTATTAATTCGGTTTACGAAAAAAAAAAATTCTTATTAATCTGAAAGGAAGATGGTTATTTTATCTCTTTTCGGATCGGAGCTCTGCTGTGTACCCGAACTATATATACTCGTAATGTTTGTGGTGGAAAAAAAAATTGAAGAGTCGTTGGAGCGCTCGAGTAATCTTCCGTGACATCGACAGATCAAAGAGTTTTAGGTAGATTAGCAATGAGATGCTGTTTAAGATGGAAATTGGGTGAGCAAGAACTGGGTGTGAAATCTTACTAGTGTTATTACAGGCATTTTTGGCTTTTTGGGCATCTCAATAGACTCGATCTAAAACGTTCTTGCAGAGATAATGATGCATAGTCTTTAGCACACATTGTCATAGAATATTATGATTTATGGGGCTCTCATCTATAAAAGGGAAGATATACTGTGTATTACGTACTCGCCGCGACGGATTTGGTTTTCCGCGGAGTCTTACAAATTACTCGAGTTCCTTGATCCCGCATATAGTAAATTGGCACTTTACAATATGTAGGTCCGTGCTGGTTACATTTGCTTTTTTACCACATTTACAATCAACAATCAATAATTCTGAAAGATAGAAATTTCAACATTTTCCTCAAATAAATTTTTAAATTATTATTTTAAAATAATAAATTTTTATAAAAAATTAAAAGCATTAATTTTTTAAAAATTTTCACAACAGTTCTTTTCCAATGAAATCACTAATGTTATAATTTATTCAATAGTGGACAATAATAAGAGGGAACTACGAATTTCTTACGAAAAATTTGTCTAATTTCTGTTGTTTTTCTCTATAATTTTCTTAGTAACGATAATCCAAACAAAAGTTTAGCTTAAAATGCTTTAACAAGTTACGAGACATTGCATTTCAATTCATATCCAATTTTCAATAAATTCGTTTTCTCCCTCTTTGAATATGGAAAGTAATAGCGCTTCTACTAGTGGGAAATAACGACTACTCCAATATCCTTCGCACTACTATTCTGAGATTCAATAAATTTTGTTTAGAATATTATTCTGTAATAATATTGCTTCTCCTTATCTTAAAAATAAAACAAAATAATTCAAAAATCAAGGGCATTTTTTAAAACATTAAATATACTAAAAAAACAAGAAATTTACGATCATAATAATTGTTTTGTTTTTGATTTTTTATTTGTATTTTGAAAATCTTGAAGGACTATGCCTAATGAAAACTGGAGTACTTTATTATAAATTCTTGTAATCAAAAGAAAATTTCTAAGATTTGATCTTTATTTACCAAGAAAATATATGAGATGGGGGAAATTAATGGAATTTTTAATGGAATTAATTTTTAATTTATTTTATTTCAAGAAAAATTCTGGTTTATGCAAATAAAACTGTAGGATGATTGTTTAAACTTTCAAATTTACTAAATAAAAATATAAATTTTATTCTTATTAATATGTTGAGGCTATTTTTCTTGATTTGTCAAATTATACAAATGAAATATACCTTTAGAGAAGTCTGGAAGAAAATGAATGACACCTTGTTTAAATATTTGGAAAATTTATGATTTTAAAGCCATAGGTAGTTTATTTAAAAATATTTAAGGGGTATAGTAATATTTGACATAGATATAGTTATAATGTCTCGTGAACTAAATTATCAACTTTATGTCTTTCGACGTATTAGAAATTTAAACGCCATTTTCAAATTAAAGCTCTAATAGCTTTGAAAAATTTGAAAAGAATAGCGACATGCCTCATATAATACAGACTGACAGAAATTCGCACTCATTGCCACATGCAGATATTCTAAAAATATTTGATTGTCATGTTATGAATATTTTGAGAGCGGTGCAATCCTTCAATCTTTTGTTATAATTTATTTACGAAACAAAAAAGCAAACCAAAAAACAAAATTTAAAACACAATAAACTGAGGATAAAATTTTTGAAGGATACCGACTTTTCGAAGGCTTTTCCTTTTGTTTTTTTTCTTTGGTTTCATGTATGTAATTTCAAATGAAATTACGCAGTAAATACGGAGTTTTAGAATTTTACTTAAAAAATTATTTTGGCTTTTTCATTTTTCTACGTTTTATTCAACTTTTCGCATTAAAAATAAAAAAAATATAAAAAAAAAGACTTTCTCATTAAATATGATATTTGAAGCGGTTTTGCTTCTGGTTTCACTTTAATTTATAAAAATTCATACATTCATTTATAAAAAGTTGGGTCAAACCAATGGTTTGTAATGCAGCACTTTTTCCTTCAACAAGGGAAAAAACTGCTTTTAATAACAATCTAGCTATGTACTAAATTATTAAATTTACTTTCATTCATACACGAATATATTTAAAAAATTGCATACATTTAGGATAAGCGGTATATGCAATCAAATAAGCATTAACATAATGCTCGAAGTTAAGGATTAATTGCGTGAGTTAAGAGAAATAATTACAATTTTTAATGGCATGGAATTTACCGTTAGTTTCTTACTATTTCGGAAGTATAAGGCGCCAAAAATTCAATTTTTACAAATTTTGAGATGCGATAACTTGAGGTGGTGGAAAAAAATTTTCTTCGAACGAATTCAACTATTCATTAATATCTAAAATATCAGACTCCTACAACCTGAGGTCTAGAAAGAACGGATTCTAGATAACGGTAACTTTTAACCTCCATTTTGTTTTTTTTTAAAAGATCAAGTATGGTATGCCGCGGTAGAAGAACCACAGTATTACTTTTCTGGCTTTGCAGATTTAGCATTTTTAAGTCTTTGAGGCATTTTAAAATAACATTTTAAGTCTTGATATGAGGGAGATAGGTAAAAGTTTTATTCTACTGAAGCAATTTTCTACAAAATTTACTGAAAAAATATATGTACAGTGGCAAAGATATATGTATGTACGTTATTTTTGATTTCTGTCTTTAAGAGTGTAAAAGTTTCGTAAACGTGACGCACGGACGGTCAGAGTAAAACTAATAAGAAATTTTTTTGCAAAATTTTTTGATAAAGTGCTAATAAATGAAATATTTTTAACTGAATATAAAAAAATTCTATCTTCGTTGAATTGAACGTTGCTGTTGAATGTTTTATTTAAGCTAGACTAAGTCAATATTAGCTAAGTTTAAAAAAAGCTAAAATACATTAAAAAGAAACAGGAGTAAATAAAATTTTAGAATTCACTTTTAACTTTCTTTAAATTTATAATTATGAAAATAAAATTTTTATTAAGAGAAAATGTGTAGTCCGAATTATAAATTTTTCTTCGTTTTTGATACTACAAGTTTAGATTGTTTGAAACATAAGTTTAAATCTTAATCTACATTTACTTTCATAAAATATTCATGAAACTCTGAAAACGGCTTGTTATTTACTTTAAAGCCCATTTTCTGTTTACAGGTGATGTACTTGTATTGCAATATTTTGGTATTTTATGTCCAGTTTTTCAGAATTGTAGCTAAATTTTATTTCGACAAGGTTGCATTTTGTAAGGCAACCAATCACATACGGTTTCTTTTTTTTCTTTAAAAGGACGTTTATTGTATTCATATCTAAAATTTATGGTATGGCAAAAAAAAAATTGTACTCGAATCAGTTAATTTTTAATATAAAAGACCATTTACAAATTGAATGAGAAATTCACATTAAATGTATTCAATGATTTTTCTTTTGAATAAATATTAAATTTTTGGTTACTTTTTTAATTTTAGAAACCTTTATAACGAAGAAATTTTTGCAAATATATCAAGGTTAAAAGAATTTTTTTTATAAAAATATGTATTGAAAAAAATGTTTCCTTTTTACAAGGATATTGCAATTTCTTTTTTTCTAAATTAATTTAATTTACTTTATTAAACAAACCATATTAACATTATTTCTATTTTAAGTGAAAATTAAATTAATGATAGTTTTAGTAATTATATAATTTAAATATTCAAGGATACAAAAAAAAAAAAAATAATATATAAAAATTAATTACTAGATTAAGGAGGAGGATTAGAGTAATTTACATACGTTTTGAATTTATTCAATTTCAAAAATATTACATAATTAAAATTTTATTTCTGAAGTGCACTTAGTGGTTGTGTTAACAAATGCATAAATACATAAAAGTACTGTTTATTGCGCACTTTTAATAAATTGAAAAGAATTGTGGTCTAGTAATTTATGCATCTCTTGAGATTAATGTTATTAAAATTAAAATATTACGTGCTATTGAATTTTCCTTTTTCTTTTTTTGGATTCATGTTATCATTTCGGGTATAATTAATGCTTGCTTATGAATTCTATTAAAGAAGCTTTTTATTAGAAAATTCTTAAAAACATTGTTAACTATTTAGTTAAACTGTTCACTAAAAGAAATTTATTTTTGAAATCAACAATAATAATTGTAGATTAACTTTATGTTGACTTTGTTATTTGGTCGTAAAAGCTTATTTACTCTTAATTTTACAGAAACGGAAGAACTAGTTTTATTAATTGCGTAGAAATATAAAATTTGAATCAAAACGCTAAAAATAAACATTCATCGACAGAATTTAAATTCAAAAATAAATCAGCTAGCCATATTTTATATATAAAAATATTTGTATTTTCATATTCAGGCAGATCTTAAAGGTAATATTTTCGGAATTATTTATTACTAAGAATAATCATATTATCGGAAAATATTTATTCCTCGGAATTGAACGCAACACAATTTCTGTTTTAAATATTTACATTTGACCGCTATAACAGATCATCAATTTAACCTAATTAATTTAACTACCAATCCTACCATCTATAAATGTACAAAATCAAAAATTAAAATTCAAGTTTTACATTTTACATTATTTTTAAAATTATGCAACGGAATAATATTATTGGCAATAAATGAAAGATTTAGTACTGAACTAATAAGTAAAATTGCTTATATTCGGGGGCAAAAATTTTTTGTAATATGCACATATAATTTGCAAACGTATTAATTTGTAATATGTACGTATATGAGATAAAATTGAATTAAAAATTAATTTGAATTTTTAAGTTGCTTCATTTAAGAATTTTAATTTTTAAGTTAAGTTAAAAATAAAAATTCTTAGAAATTCTTAATTTTCTTTTTCGACAAAATTATTTTTATTGAAAATCTTTAGAATATTCTCTGAATTTTTTAGAAAATCACAAGATCAAAATTAAAATTATCATTTCGTTGTTATCAGGACATTTTTAGGTTATAATGTTTAAGTTAGTTTAGCATAATGTGTATGCATATGCATGATAGTAGAAATTATCTGAAATTGGTAATTATCTAGTAAATTAGAATGTGATCAAAAAATTTTATCCTCACTTCGCATTATATCGTACACAATTATTATTATAATAGAAATCTAAAAAATTTTTCTCTTATAGACTAAAATTTACAAACAACAAAATACATTAATTAAAAACTTAGCATGTCCTGACTATATATTTTGTTAAAATGTCAATAATTTTAAAATGTTCAATGAAAATTTTGTAATTTAAAAAATTTCTAAAAGTTCTTGTTAAAAATTTCATAGCACTTTATTAAAATTCTCATCCGGTTCTTTTGTTTTTTTTTAACAAAAATTTTTTTTTTTTTTAGTTTTTACATAGCTAAGATCACATCTTATTCCCATCAATTCATTTTGTTTTTTACAAAAATGTCTACTTTATTATTTAACTTGAACATTTATTGGATAAAAAAAATTGAGTAATATTATTTTATTTTTTTTTTTGCTTGTATACGACCTAAATTAAATGCCATAAAATAACAATTTTATATCGTTTAACGAAAACAAAAATAAAAAACTGGAAAAAAGGACTAATAACATCTGTCTTAGTTAAGATAAACGAATTGAAATAAATATAAGAAAAATGAAAAAAATTCTTCCTTAAAAAATTCTTTTCACATATATAAGGATATTATAATTTAATTTTCACTTCGATTGTATGAAAACAATATTCTTTGTGTATGGATATATACACTTAGTTAGTAAAGAACCATGACCAAAGTCACATCCTTATGTATTATGATGATGATTTGTATAATGTTAACTCTGGTAATGTTTTATTGCTATGGTTTATGCCTGGTTGTCTTCTTTTTAATAATAATTTAAGTTCGAAATTTGCTTCCTTTTTTTTTTCTAATTTCTTTAAAAAATAATAATAATGGTGTATTCTACTGCCAAATATAAAATTAAAAGAAAAATTCACAGGCTTTATTGATTTTTTTTCTTTTTTAAAATTTCTTATAAAATCATTTTCTTTATTCCTTAACTGGTATAACTAATATATTGTTATACAAATATAGAGTGAATGTTGTTATGCCCATTTGTTTCAATATAAGAAAATATGCTCATATCCTTATATTTTTTATTGCAATAAAACAACGCCATCGTATATCACATTTTCATTGTAACAGAACAAAAAAAAAAAAATTAAGGATAATATAAAAATTGTACAAAGAAAATAAAATAAAATACGAAAAAATAAAACAGTAATATTCAAGGATATAAGAATGTTATCCTGTCGTTTGTTCCGGTTGTAAACAACCTTGTTATTTATTCGTTTCTTTCTTTTTGTTATTATTTTCTTTTTTTCAAAATATCTTCTTTCTATATGCGACTACACTCTCACACTCTCTTTCTGGTTCTCATTCTTTGGTATATTTTCTCTTTGTGCAGGTTATTTTTCTTCCATACATACTAAGCTCTTTATTTGATTTTCTCTATTTTGATTTCTTAGTTGTGATCGTTGTTCTTATAATTTTTTTATTTTTTTATTTTTTACATCTTATTTATCTTGTTATATAAGTAAATGTAGATATTGTTGTGGGTGTAATGTTAAACATTTTATTGCCCAAAATTAGTTCATTTCTAAACAAGAAACATTGTATATATACACAACACAAATATATAAAAACAATATTATATTTAGATAAAAAATGAACGCGAAAAAAAAAACGTTAAAAAAAATAAAAACCATCATAAAACATAAAGGATCACAAAAATTGAAATGATGAATCAACCATACAATCTCAATACAAAGAAAAGTAAGAGGAGAATTTCGGAAAATCGTCACACTTTTTGCTGCACGTTGATTCAAGCTTTACTTGAAGAATTCCGAGTTATTATTAGTATTATGGGGAAACTGTTTGCTTTATTTTTGAGTCATTTTTAAATGTTCACCGGATAAAAATTCATATTTCGAATTGTATTTGAAAAATTTTACTTTTGAAATTCTCAATTTCGAGAATGCTTTAGTGGACATCTACTAGATTTTATATAACATGCAAATGTAAGTAAAAGTCGAAAAATGATTTGTCAAAGTAAAACACAATGCAAAACTTTAAACTTCTCTATAACGTTATTTGCATACAATTTGGAAAAGTCATAAAACAATTCCCATTTTTGATGAATTTCAATCCTAACTGTTAGAGTTTAAATATTGTTGTCAATTTTTGAATGTTTTATGTTCTATCACATTTTGTTAAGAGAACTGTGCTCTACAAAGCAAATGACTGTTATTTAGAAATGAAAACAATTGATGTGATTGACATGATCGTTAAATTGATAACATTCTAAGAAATTGCCATGTTTAAAATAAATGTTTCAGAACTTCTTTTTAAATTTTCTTATTCATATATATATATATATATATAAAGTGCTACGAGTTGAATGGATATGAGACAGAAAAAGCCCTTACTCCAAATACTTTATTCATTCGCAAACTTGATTTGTAATATTTAGACTACAGCTTATGATGGTGACTTGATTTATTTG